GATGACAGTGGTCAAGGGTAGTGGCAGAATGCACCACTGTCGGTGCTCTGCAGGCTCCCAGATTGCGCTTACTAGTGGGCCAGAAGGGGGAGCCTCCCGCCCAGAGGGGGCGCCGTTTTCTGATTCCCACAAAAGTGTGGTGTGGGCTGGCAGGGGCTCTGGGGCTGGCTCAGCCAGACAGTGTCGGGTTCACCGGGCGGGGCCCAGGGCCGGGAGAGACCCACGCGACCGTCTGCGGCGGGAAAGAGAGCCGGCCTTCAGGGCTTTGCGCTTCTAGAGTGCCTAGCCCTGGCTTTCAGACACTCCAACGTTCACACACAGAAATCGCTCTGTCCTGGGTTCGGTGTGAATCCAGAAAAGAGAAACTGAGGCACAGGAGGACGCAACACTTAGTAGAGCCATCCTCTCCATATTGTCTGGAGCGGAGAAGCTGGACTCAGTAGGCCTCAGTCCAAAGCTCCAATTAAGGACCCTGGTCAGGGGGCAACCCCAGAGAACGCTTCCTCTAGACCTACCTGCTGCCCCCACCCCTGGCCGCTTCCCGGACTCCGGAGTAATCAGCTGCTCCGTGCTGTTGTAATTGGCGGTGCAGGCCCTGCCTGGCAGAGGACCCGCGGGCAGCGCAGGGGCAGCCGAGGGGCTTAATTGCAGGGCTTTGGGTCTTAGTCTGGGCCGCAGCTCCGCTCGGGGTCGGGGGAAGGGGACGGACCCTTAGCTCGGAGAGACCATCATCGGAGGAAGCCAAACGACCTTCGGGTCAGTAGTCAGGGATCCCTTCCCCGGAAACCGAGGGGTTGGGGGACTTGAACCCCGGCGAGAGTGAGAGAGGAGCGGAACGTTCCCGGAAAGTTGGGAGGGGGCGCAGATTCCAGGCTCCCCACCCCAACCCCAGAAGTCCTGGTTAGTCTTGTCCGAGTCTCCTCCCTCTTCTTGACCCCCCCCTCCCCAACACACCTCTTTCTGCCACCTCCGTCACCCCCCTTCTCGTATCCCTAGGGCGCTCCCACCCTGGGGAAGAATGTGCCCTACTAGCGCACCCTTGCCATGGTAACGGCACACCCCCACCCCCGCGCACCGCAGCAGCCGGGCCTGGCCCGGAGGGCTGCGAAAAAAGGTGGGGGTGGGCGCCTCCCAGCCCCGCGGACACACCTCGACTGCCCTGGTTGCCACAGCAACCGGGGGCGTTTCAAAGTGCGCAGTCGCGAAGTGGCAAAGGGCTCAGCTCTGCTCAAGATCTCTCACCCTACTAATCCACCGTCAGAAGACCCTAGTTCCTGCGGGAGACTGCCCTTCCCCAACTTCAAGGACAAAGTCCAGAGAGGGATCGTGGGGTGTCCCAGCGTCCACACACGGCAAGCCTAGGGAGCAAAGGCAGCTGGAGAGCCCCAGAGAGCCTGGAACTTGAAAAGGGATACCCCCTGTCGCCTGCCTGTCCTCCTGTCCCAGCAGAGCCCGAGGGGGGCGCTGGCAGCAGGAAGCCGGGGTAGGCCCCGGAGGCGCGCGGGCCCGACAGCGGAGCGGTGATTACAGGGACCTGTCCCTCCCGCTCCCGGCTCCCACTCTCATTAAGTCATTTTTTCCCCTGTTGGAAAGTCCCCGTGCCTTGAGCGCAGGGGTTGGGGCGACCGCAGGCAGCTGCCGGCAACCACATGAGAAGTGGGGGTGGGAAGGGAGGAGGGGGACTGCGACTAGGGCCTGGCCAGACTCCAACGTGGAAGCTCCCCTGCGGGGGGCTAGCTGGGGGCACCCTAATTCCGGGGAAGGAGGGGTAGGGCGCGGATGCCCCTGACCTTGTTTCTCACCCACCAGGGCCCTCCTACAGCTGCCAAAACCTCTACTTTTGCCTCTCCCCACCTCCTTTTTCCACTCTCCGACCTTGGGTGACTGTAAAGCAGGATGAATGTGTTCTGGTCCCCACCCCAATCTGGCTGCTTCTCCCTGACCCTTAACCCCACGACTGCCTGCTGACCTGTCCACCACCCTCATTCTCTATTAGTTCCCTCCCTTCCTCTCGTTGGGACCATCCAGGCTCCGTTAGACTGTACTATTTTTCCCTCCTGCAAGAGGATGACTCGGTGTCCATCAGCGTGAAAACTGTTGAAGGCGGAGATGGCCCCCTTGTCCTCTGAATGTTCTCTGGCCCACCTTCTGTTCTCGTTTCCGAATCACAACCCTGGTCCTCTCTGAGCTGTCGGAAAGTTCTTCCTCCCATCTATCTCCACTGCCCGCTTGATTTCAGCCCATCTCCCCTGTTTGCAATCAGCACATTGATTGCTGCCTCGCCTTTAAGTCAGTAAGATTAAGCCCAGTGCCTCCTGGGCCCCATTTTCCCTCCCTTCATCACCTCCACCTCTCTTTTCAGGGCCCCTACCAAATTCCATACACTCCTGCCTGGTCACGTATGGTGTCCAGCTTTGGTCCCAGGACTCTAGTCAATTTCAGGCCCAGAGAGAGGATGGGGATGGGCAACAACCTACTTGATCCTTCCCCCACTTTTCCTCTCTTCCTTGACAGGTCACTACAACTTGACAGGACTGCTGTCCAGGCCCCTGCCGCTCCCCGCCGCCCACCCCTCCCTCCAGAGGCAGCATGCTCAGCGGTGTTCCAGTCTCCTTATTTCAACCCTGATCCTTCATCCCCTATCTTCGGCCTTTCCTTCCCCAGCTCTGTCCTCCTTAGGCATGGAAGGCAGAGGAGGGTGAGGCCAAAGCCAATGCTGCAGTGGACACTGCTGGGATGGAAATATTCCCCTCCGCAGGCCACCATTCCCCCACCCCTTTCCTCCTCCTCCCTGGGATGGGATGGCAGGGCCCAGCCCCCACAGCACTCTCCTGGGTGAACAAGAGGAAAGGAATGAGGCAGGTGTGTCTGGCTGCTCCTGCCTACCCCTCCTCCCTGGGGACTCTTACCCGCCTGCCTGCCTGGGAGGCTGTCTTTTGGGGGATGGGGAGAGAAACCCTGTAGTCCACAGAGGCAGAAGAGCTGAGCATGTGGAAGGAAGGCCATGCTGCCTTAGGCCATGTCTGGAAGCTGCTTGGATGCAGACATTGGAGGGGAAGGAGCTGAGGACAAGCTAGTGGGGTCAAATCTCCTAACTGGAAGGCCTAGAGGGTGCATCGTCTCTTTCTCATCCCTCCCCAGGGGCAGGGAGATGTGGAACAGGGCTAGAGAAATATGATGGATTTTTATAGGCTGCATGGCAGTTGAGGAGAGGAATAAGACTTCCTCCTTGTCTGGTTGATCAAGAAGGGTGAACTGAGGCAGACAGCAGGATCCCTGGCTGTGAACAGCAGGAGACTTGCATGAAGTAGGTGAAGTGTTCCTTCCCCAAGATTCTGATCCCACCTTCCTCTCTACCACCCTCCTCCTCTGTGAGGGTCTGTTCCAGAAAAACATCAGATCCGAGAGCCAAGGAAAGTGTGGCACTGAACCAGCTTAGCAGTGTTCTCATGGGGATATTGGGGGGGGCAGGTGTGCTGGCTGATTTGTCAAGGGCATCCTGGTTGGGGATCTGGGGGCACAAGCGGCCCAAGAATGATGCCCCCCCCAGTCTTATACAACATCCCCCCCCCCCACCTCATCCCCCCGCCTTCCCTGCCTGGACTCAGAGAGACCAAAATCCAGACAGTGAGTCTCCTGGCCCTCCCCCGCCACCCTTCTCCCAGCCGCACCTTTTAGCCCCACCTGCTCCCTGGGGCACTGGGCTGGGTTGAGCTGGGTCTTGCCCAGGATTACTCCTCTCAGAGTGCCTCCTGTCTCTGCTGACGGGTGCTGCTGGGCACTGCCACTCGCCCTGGCTTGTGGCAGAGGGTTCAGGCACAAGGCGGACTGCTAGAGCTCTCTGGCATCAAGGGCTCTCAATCCAGCCCCTTGTCAACATCTCCTGCCTCCATGAGTCCAGGCCCCATCTCTGCTTTGGAAGGTAGCTATAGTCTCCTAACTGGCTCCCCTGCTGTCAAAGTGTCCCCCTTGAGCCAGTCCCGCGTACAGTGATCCAGGTGGGAATCAGACCGTGACACTCGCCTGCTTAGGACCCTGTGAATGTTTCCATTCCTCTTAAATAAAATCTGAACTCCTTACAGAGGCCTAGGACATAGGAGGTGACTCTTCCCCCGCACCCAGCTCCTCTCCTGCTAATCTGCCCCTTGATTTCTTCACGTCAACTGCACCGGCCTCTTTGCTGTTCCTTATCATTTGCATTCACATGGCTTCTGCCTGGAAAGCCCTTACCCTCAACCTGTGCATGGCTCTCTCTTCATCATGTGGATCTAAAGCATAAGTATCACAGCTCTGAGAGGCCTTGCTGGAAAATTCAATGGCTTTATCTAATGGATCCCCACTTCCCCAAATCACTCTACATCCATCACCTTGCTTTATTTTCTTCATTACACATAGCATTGTCTGAAATGACCTTGTTTGGGTATCTCCTTGTTTATTGTCCATCTCCCCCAGCCAGCATATAAACTCCAAGAGGGCAGCTGTTGTCTCTTTTATTCACATCTGTATCCCCAGCACCCCTCATCCCCTGAAGAGTACCAGGCCACAAAGAGTGCAAAATAAATATTTGTTAATTGAATGATGAGGGGCAGAAGCCTGTTGGGGAGGGTGTCTGGGGCCTCTCTAGAATCACTGCAGCTCAGTTTTGTCCGTCTCTTCTTTTTTAATCCTCTTCCCCCTGCCCAGCAGCTTCCATTCATTCTCTCCCACGCCAGGGAAAATGGTGAAGGGATGAAAGGAGACAGGCCTGGAGTGGCCTGGCTAACACTTGCTCTGGGGTGGGCGGCAATTCCCAGCCCAGCTGAGCAGTCTTGAGCTTGGGGGCAGAGAGCGGAGAGGCAAATCAGTCCTGTAGCCCGAAGAAGTGAGTGATGAAGCCTAGACTTTCCCGTGATTGCAAACCTGACGACCCTCAGAACTGGGAGGTTCCTATAAGATGTAGTGGTCCAACCTCCTCTCCCAGGAGTCAAGGCGACTCTGTCTCAGTGAGCGGAGCCCTCCGCTCACTTGCAGACGCTAACCCACTCGGTGATGCGGCACTCCTCACAGACCACGAAGCAGCACCAGTGGAAGCGGCAGTGGCAGCGCTCGCTGCGCGTCTGGCGCAGAATGTTGTGGCCGCGACCGCAGCACATGCTGCCGCAGCCGTCGGGGCCTGTGCTACTCTTGTTGCACAGGCGGCCCACGGTGCCCGCCGAGTCCAGGCGCGGCTCACGCTCGCAGAAGTCGGGCGACTTCTCGAAATAGACCAGGTCTGCGGGGTTGGCCCGGCGGCGTGGCCCGGGAACGCCGGGGGCCGCAGAGGGTGCCCCCGCGGGGCCGGCCTCTAGCTGGCCGCCGTTGCGGTTGTGCGGCCGGATCAGTGTGGCTCGGTGGAAGCGGTTGCGCAGCAGCGCCCCCACGGCGCGGAACTCCGGCGTCACCTGCCAGCACGTCTTGAGCTGGCAGCTGCCTGACGTGCCGTGGCACTTGCACTTCCGCCGCATGTTCTCCATCACCGCCTGCAGAGGGAAGCAAGGTGAGAGGTGACACCTGCAGCCAGCCCCACAGCCTTCCTTCCAACACCAGACTCTGGCCTGCGAGAATCAGAGACTTTTGAAACCAACTCCCATTGAAGAGAGGCAAAAGCTGGGGCCCGAAGCGGGGTTGGGGCGGGATGGCACAGCTCCTGAGCCAGGCTGTCCAGAAAAGAAATCTGCCTGCTCTTCTGCTGCTCTGGCATCCACCTCCCACCAGGCCAGGTCCTGGGGGAATTCCCTCCTTCCTGCTCCCCCTCCTCTTCTGCCCGCCTTTCACAGCACCTGCAGGGGGCCCTTGGGGCTGGAGGCTCTTGCTTCCTGAGGGGGGATCCCAGATCCTCAGGGAAATTCCCTCTCCTTCCATCCCTCGGGTAAGGGCCAAGAGCTGGGGTTTGCTGGCCCCAATATATCCCATCCCCAAAGCCTCTGGCCTTGCTCCAGGCTGTGAGTGAGTGGGGGCTGCAGGGAGTCTGAGAAAGTCCCTTTCCTTCCCTGGGTCCTGCAGCTCCTTAGGCTTAAGGAGTGGGGGAGGGACTGGAGAGACACCCCTTCCTCCAGTATACTAGCTGGGGCTTATTCTGCCTAATGCTGAGTGCCACAGTTCCTCCTAGAAAGCAGTGAACACCAACAGGGCCCAAAGGCTTTACCTGAATGCAGAGTGGGAACAAACCCCAAAGAGCCAGACCCTCAACCCAGTGAAAGTAGAGAGAGGTTCCCAGACCTCCGAAGGAGGTGGTTAGGGAACAGAGCCTACCCACAGCCTGCCCAGCTCTCAACCTGCTTTGGAGTCTCCTCCCAAAGAAGCCTCACCAGAGGACCCAGACGGAGTGGACCACATCCTTCTCTACCCCCATTCCACTTCAAACACACCCTGAGCCAGGGATAGCAATGATCGGAGGCCCTCAGACCCGGGTAGTAGGGCCATAAGAGAGCGACCCTTGTCCTCAAAGTTTTAAAGGACTCCTCAGCCTATATGTACAGCCTGCGGTGTCAGCACCACGTGGGAACCAGCCCAATGCGTCCCCTGGCCAACAGCTCCAGAACATCTGCTTCCCACAGGCAGCAGCCATTAATTAACCAGTTTAACAAGGAGGAGGAGGAGGAGGCACGGCTGGTATGGGCTGGGATAGCACTGAAGCTTGGGAAAAGAGCTGCACAGACAGCGCAGGGCCGGGTGGAAGCTGGACCAGACCCGAGGGTGGGCATGCCTCAGTTTACCTCACCTCTAAGTCAGAAAGGGAAGAGTTGAATCAGCTTGGAGTTTTTGTGGAAGGGAAAGGTGAGCCAGCCTGGGCTGAGAGGCCAGGAGAAAGGGGAGTGACATGGGGAAGGTGCCAGCCAGAGGGAAGGGGAGCCAGGACCGAGGCCTGAGCAGGCCTGGCAGGGCGAGAGAATGGGTGGAGGCCAAATAATCAGGAAAGGAAGGTGCTGAGCTACCACGAGGGCTAGGAGGCACCTCAGTGTAGGTGTGCACATAGAATAGACTACACTAAGCAAAACAGCACGGCCTCAGAACTCAGCTGCCGGGGGATGAATCCTGCCTCTACCACTTTCTCCCTAGTTGCATCTCCTAATGCAAGTTAAGTCTCTCTGTGCCTCAGTTTCCATAGCTTAACCTGAGCTGCATAGTAGCACCCTCAATGGGAAGTTGTATGGATTAAATAGGCTAGTACATAGCAAAGTGTTCCAAACAGTGTCTAATATATAGTAAGCCCTCAATAAATCCAGTTTACTATTACATTCATTCTCTCTCACTCTCTCTCTTAAATGAATGAGACCTTTGAGTTAGTATGAACATTGGAGGGGAGGGGGGCCTAGGGCACAGTTCCATGCCGGTTCCTGGGAACCCCACTTTGAGGAAATCCCCATTCTGCACAGGAAGGCTGGGAGAGGAGGGGCCGCAGCAGAGGATATCACAGAATCATGGAGCACTAGGGCTGATGGGCCTTATGCGTGATCCAGTTCAACCTTCTCATTTTATAGGGAAGGAGAGGGGGTGGCAGGGCCTGGCCTCGACCCAAAGGTGAGGTCTTTCACCATTGTTCCCAGAGGAAATGGGCGGAGCAGGCTGTTTGGCAGAAGGCGAGCTAATGGGGACACAGGCTGTTGCTGCCCTCTATCTCCAGGCCTAACCAAGTGCCTAGCACACAGTAGGTATGCAACACATGTTTGTTGCCTGAATTAGAAGGGGGCAATGTGAAAATTGCCAGGTTGGTGAGGGGGGGCCGGGGGGGTGCCCTGTGGTCCCCAGAGGAGAGGCAGGATGGGGGGCGGGGCTTGGCAGAAGGGTTTGGTGCAGAGGGAGGGGATAGGGAGGTAGCTCTCACCTGCCTCCCGACTCGGTTGTTGTGGAGCCTCATGCGTGCGTGGATGTCTCTGTGAGGCTCCCGGGAATCCAGAAAGTCCTTAGAGAAGCGCTCCCCAAAGCCCACGTCCGGGCTACAGCCGCCCCATTCCCAGGAGTCCTGCAGGCCAGGGCTGGCAGGGGGCAGGGCTGGGTGCTCCGGAACCCCATGGCTCAGGCCCTTACCGCGCTGCAGTGCGTCCAGCTGCAGGCGGTGCAGCTTCCGGCGGAAGGCCTCCTCATCCCCGCGCCTGGATGCATCGCAGCCACATGCCCTCAGTTTGCCCAGGGCGCATGCATTGGACACTGCGTGCACTACGCCGGCTGCGGCGATGGCGTACGCGAAGGCACTCTCTCGGAAACCTGCAGGTAACAGATGCAGGAAACAGGTTCTGAGCGGCCTGACATCCCATCCCTTTGCCTTTCCTACCCAATGCTCTCTCCATACAGAGGGGAAACTGAGGCCCAGTGGTGGGGGGAGGTCTGTTACAGGGCACAGAGTCAAAGGGGATCAGAAGTCACACCGCAAGTTCAGCCCAGAGGATGGAGTGGCAGAGGTCTCCTCCATAACCCTCCTATTCTGCACTCCCCCATTCCATTGGCACCAGCCCTTAGCAAGCTGAGTCTGTGTCTACATCTCCCCTGTTGGACAGAAAGTATCTGGTAAACATTCTTTTTAAGATCAGGTACTTAATCTATTACCTCTCATGTAATATCTGCATTTTCATAATAAGCCTGCAGAAGGAAGGCAAATGTAACCTAAAGAATAAGTTACCAGTCATGGAATGCCGGGCTGCAGGAAATGTTGCTGGGCAGACAGGTAGGTCAGAGGAGCTGGTGTCCTCCTGAAGCTCCTGGGCTCAAGATTGTCTGCCTGGTCCCCCCCTCAGATCCACCACAGAACCCTCTCTGAGGCCCAGGTGTGAGAGGCAGAGAAAGGAGCCAGCAGTTTCCCCTCCTGCTGTTCACAGGACACCCTTGAAAGTCTGCTCCAAAAAGGGTGCCACCAGCCACCAGTGATGAGTCTAGCTCAGCTGAGGGTTGTTGGAGGGAGGCTGGAGGTGAGCCTATGCCTTGCATGGCACACAGTAGTGTTGAAGACTTAAGCATATAGTACTGTTGAAGACTGAGAGGGGAGGGTGAGCTAAGGCAGACACTTTCCCAGAGATGCCCAGGGGGCACAAAGACTCCCTGGTAAGCCACTCTCAGGGGCTCAGGGCTGGGCCGGCCTGGCCACTGACTTGTCTACACAGCTTTCCTCCTTGTCGTGCTCAGCCTGAACTATTCTCTGGGAAAGCCCCGGTAGGTAGGTTGACCTGTGGCAGGGGAAGGTCTATTTGCAGAGGAGTGTCTGGCTCCTGGACCCACAAGCTGCTTCTTGCTTATTCCGCATCTGAGAAAGGACTAGCTAGGAGCAGGTTCTGATACCAGTTTCTGACCAGCCTCTGAACCAGTGGGGGCAATGGGAGAAGCCAAGAGCAATAATAGCTCCCGTACAAGGAGGAGAACCTACCTGTGCCATTGGCCTCTGTAAAGGAAGCCCAAACCTGGCCCAAGGCTGATGGCCAGAGGTTCCGAGGAAAAACTCTGGATCCTCCCACCCTAGCCTCAAAGACTGGGAAGGCATGCTCTCAGGGACTCACAGATCCAGAGGGCCAACCCGAACCGGACAGAGACCCTAGCCCACACCCACCCCTAATGTTCACTGTCTGCATCATGGGGCCTGTGTTCCTCTTCCTGCCCAGCCAACACAACAGCACAAATTAAAAAACCCACACAAGTGGTGTAGTAGTAGTTAAGAATATGAACTCTTAAGCCAAACCGCCTGGTTCAAACTGTGTCTCTTCCACTCACTAAATGTCAATAGCTATGTGACCTTGGCCAAGTGGCTTGACTTCTCTGTGTCTCAGTTTCCTCATCTGTAAAACAGGGTTGTTATTATTATCTGCCTCATTGTTGTTCCAAGAATTAAAGTTTGTACATTTAAAGTGCTTAAAATAATACCTTACTCATAATAAATACTGTATACATATAAACTATTATTGAGTTCTTCCTGCTATCTGACTTCACTCACTAGTTCTATCGTTTCAGGATGGTGTTTTTAGTTTCCCTGGTCAGGGACAGAGCCTAGTAGCTCATGACCCACTCTAGAATAAATCACCGGGGCCACCAGAAAGCCCATAAAGCAGTCTGTCCCTTTCTATTTTCTCTTTCGAGCTCACAGCATCTTGGGAGCAGACAGGAAGGGATGGAGATGGGGCTGGAGCCATGAGTGGGCACTGGGAATGGGTTAGAGATGCAGAGGAATAGGCACTGCTCTGGGGTGTGGGGCCCAAGGAAAAGGAGGGCAGACCCAAGCCGGAGAGCACACCCTATGTTTATCCACTGCCTTTTGTCTGTGGAACTCTGAAACATCTCTCTGGTTGCTGAGGGAGTCATCAGCCTGCTCCTCGGCTGAATGGCAATACTCAGGCCTCCAGAGGCAGCCCGGGTGTCGGAACTGCCCGTGCTACACACACACACTGGGCAAAAAAGGGGATGCCCAAGGGCACAGGGGTTGTGAAGCAGGACCCAGCCCCAGCTCTCCCAGCTCCCAGGCCTGACAACTTTCTGCTGAGGGATGTTTGACTCTAGGAAAGACCTGCTGCTGAATAAGAAACCCAGGTACCCCAGTTCCCAACTTCCATGGCCCTGGAAACTAGAAAGAGCAAGAGGCTGGTCTAGCCCTGGCTGGTGTGGCTTAGTGGATTGGCCATGGGTGTGCAACCTAAAGGTCACCGGTTCAGTCCCAGGTCAGGGCACATGCCTGGGTTGCAGGCCAGTTGGGGGCATGCAAAAAACAGATGAGCAATCAATCCATGTTTCCCTGCCTTTCCCTATCTCTAGAAAGAAATTATTAAAAATTAAAAAAAAAAAAAAAGAGGCTGATCCAGGGGGACGTGCTGGGCCAACCGCCATCTTCCAGGCTCTGTTACATTCAAGGGCCGTCTGGAGGGATCTGGAGAAATGTAGCCCATAGCCTACAGAGATCACCCATGCCTACTCCCCAGCAGCAAAAGAAACCACCCCATGGCCGCTGGTAGCTGTCACAGCCACATGTAGGTGTGTCCAGGCAGGGTTCGTGTGGCCATCCTCTGTTCTAAGCATCCAGGCCTCAGAGAAGTCCAGCCCCCTGGGTCTGCCCCCAGCTCCCATTCAGGGCCCCAGTTTCGGTCCTGGCCCCGGCTGTCTGGGGCAGACGCAGGCACTGTGCCATCTGGCCAGCTGGAGGGGGAGAGGGGTGGGGCCACGGCCAGCTGGGCTGCCCCGAGCATTGGTGGGGGGGCTCGTTAAGACGCACAATTAGCCGCCCTGCCTTTGATCTGGGACAGGGACTGCCAGCATCTAAGTGGAGTCAGCTGCTGCTACAGGCTGAAGCCAACGGCCAGGAAGGGATGTGGGAGGAGGTTCGGAGGGTAGGGGAGTGTGGAGGAGAGGGGGTTCGGGAGCCAGGGGGAACCAGGAGGGTCTAGAGAAGCTTGAGCCCTGTGCATGTGAATCAAAGAGACAGGGAAGGCGAAAGGTCTGGCCTCTGTTCCCTCTGTGCAAATATTTTGTGCGTGCTCATGTGCCTGGGTTGAGAGAGAGGGAGAGAGTTGTGTGCATATGGGAACACTTAGGGGTGACACTGAATGGGGCTACCCGTTTGCTCGAACATGGGTAGGAGTGTGTGTGCACGCATCAGTTTCATCTCTTGGACTACTCTTTCATTGCACAGCTCACCTCTGGGCACACGGAGATCATGGGAGGCAGGATGGCAAGGGGTGGGTGCAATCTCTAGTCAGCTGGCCTGCATTTGAGTCCTGGTTCTACAGCTCACTTACAAGCTGTGTGACTAATCCTCTCTTAGCTTCATTTGTAAAATGAGGATAATAATAGGACCTACCAAGTGGGGATTGTTTGAGGGCCCTAAAATATAGATAAAGTGCTTTAGAAAAGTGCCTGACACACAGCAAGTACTTAGTATGTGTTGGCTGATTTATTGGTTGCCATTAGACTAATAGGATCTTAGGTGACCCTGGGATATGATTGTCTGTGCCCATGTGTCCCCACTGAGTGCTACCACATACGCCAAGCTTGGTGACCTAGGCATAAAACCAAGACTCTCTTGGATGACTGTAAAAGGGAGGTGGGAGAAGAGTGAGCCAGGGCCTTGGAGAACAGAGGCTGGACCCTAATTTGCTGGCTTTCCCTAAGCTGGGACCTGACTTGTTGCAAGGCCTCATGTATCCTCCTTGCAAACAGGTCTGGGCCTTAGGGAGGCCAGTTACTTTCCTGTGTGGGAGCTCCAGGACCTGCCCTTTGAATCTACTACTCTCCCCTCCATCGAGCCTCTCTCTGTCCTCTCATCTCCTCTCGCTCCAGGGCCCAGGTCCAGTCTGAAGCAGCTCCGTCCTCAAATCTCCCTCCGGTCCCTGCACCCTGACTAAGAGAGGGGTGGGTTCCTCTCGTCCTCACAATGAAGAGCTCCCCTCTAGCTGATGTTCTACCCAGCACTCTACCCACCCAGGCACGAACGCCCTGGGTCCTAGAACAAAAAGCTGGGGATACCAGTGCCCCTGGCACTTAGGTCACAACTTTTTTCTGACTCTAGGCCCCTAGAGGCCCCTTTCCCTGTCCCCCCATCCTGGGCTCCAGCACCGCCACCCCTGTCCTCTCTCCTCGGCTAGGTGAAGCCCTATCACACACCTGCCTTCCCAAGCACCTACTCCAGGCCCTCAATCTCCTTTCCTTCCCTGTCCTACGTTAGGACCCTATCCCTTCAGCCCAACCCCGCTTAGGGAAGGTGTCACGATAATTATATGACAGTAACAGCATGAAGATGGAAGCCCCCACGGACCCCCTCTGCCTAACAGTCTATATTTTAAATGAGGCAAATGGACCTTCAAGAAAGCCCATTGGCAGCCTGGGTCAGAATAGGGCTCAGCACCCTGATACTCCACTTGGGGGAAACTGAGGTCACCTGACCCTACAATAGACAATCCATAGCTTAAAAAGGAGTGAAATTTGGGAAGGGCCCAGACCAGGGACTAAGGGATTTAAATTTAGCTAGTCCTTGAGGTGGCAGGCCAAGACAGGCCAGGAAATGACCCCCGATGGATGTGAACAAGGATGTGAGGGGCAGAATGGTGGTCCTTTGAGGGAGAAGGGGCAATTTCTTCCTAGAAGCCCAGGGTCCCCTCCTCGAGGGAGAGGTGCCAACGAGGTGTCCCAATTCGGGGCGCAGAACCGAAGAGGTGTAGGATGTTGCTCCAAGGCCGAAGGAAGGAGCCCAGCCCCTGCCGAGCCAGGAGCCACTGTCCCACCTCCTCCCGCTTTGGGCGCCGCCCCGCCCGGCTAGCCCTGGCAAGTCTCCCCCTCCACCCCTAACCTCTCCCCCCACCCGTCCCCCCAGCTCACCTCCCGCTTATTAAACTGCAGGTGAACCCAGGAGCGCCTGGCGCCGCGCCAACGCCGCGTGGTTCCAGCGCTCACAACTCGCCCCCAGTGTCAAAGACCCCAGGTTCTCCACCGGGCCGCGCGGGCCTCACCGGGCGCAGCCATTAGGACGCCTGGCTTCACTCAGTCTAAGAGGGGACAGGAGGACCAGAGGGGAAGAGGGGGACACCGAGGCCCGGGAAGGGTAGAGAGCTTGTTTTGCCTCGCCCCCTCGGAAGCTGCAGGGGTGTGAAGCTCAGCGAGGCCTGCAGTGTCCTCCCCGCGGGCCCGAGCGCCGGAGGGAGATCGAGGCTTCGGGTACGCGGGTGACCTAGAAACCCGGAGTAGGAGCCGACGCGCGGCGACGACGAGCTCCGGCCTGGCCCGGCCGGGGCATGAAAGATGTAGAGGCCTGTCACTTCGTGTCGGCCAACGCGGGCGGCGGGGCGGGGCGGGCGCCGAATGGGCCGGCCAGCCGGGGTCCGGGCCCGCCGCTCTCCGAGGGCTGGAGCGGCTCGAGAGCCGCGGAGCAGGCGGGGCTGGAGCGCAGGGCCGGGTGGGGGGCGCCCCCTTTGAAAGCGGCACGGCTGGGCCCGGGAGCCGTCTGCCGCGGCCCGCAGGGGATTAGTTCGCGGCTGCATGCCGCCACACGCGTCGGGCTGGGCTCAGCCAGGGAGAAACAGCGCCCCGGGCTCGCGGGGGAGGCAGGAGGGAGAGCACGCGGGGGCGGGGCGGGGCGGGCGGCCCGGGGCTGGGCTGGGGGAGATGAGGGTGGACCCTGACGTGGGGCCTAGGCAATGCTCGGAGGGGTCCCCCTGAAGAAAGGAAAGGCCATGCCTTTCTAAGTTCTCTTGGAAGTCGGGGTCCATTGGGTGTGATTCTCCCAGAAGCCTCAGGCCCCAAGGCCAAAGGGTGTAGGGGTACCCCTCCTTTCGCCTCCACTGTCAACTGAGAATTGGACAAATCCCAAGGAGCCGGGTCTCCACTCTATCCCACCCAAGCAGCTGAGGGGGTGATACAGATACCCAACTAGGCCCATCCAGGAGGCAGGACTCCCATCTTGTCCACAAGACCTGAGTTAAGGCCTCAGTTACCAAGACAGAAGGTGGGTGTGAGCAGAAATGAGTGACAAAGCCTTCCTCAATCTCCAGCCCAAACCATATCCTAGGGGTTGCCCAGGTGGGACCTGAGTCACCCAGCCGCCAGGAGGGAGGATGGGAGCGGGCTTCCGGGTCTGTGAGTTGTGAGGGGAAAGCCATTGGCAGGGCCACCAGGCCTGCTGGGCTGGAGGCACACGCACAGCCAGTACCTCTGATTCAGAGAGAGTTCTCTGAGGTGGTGAGGATGACACAGCGACTGGTGGTGTGTCCTGCCAGGAAGAGCCTCTTCCGGAGCACAGACCTTTTACCTGCCCAGGCCTCCCTCACCTACGCCATTTGGCAAAAGTCCCCAACCCCTCTTCGTGCTGATTCTGGGTACTTTGTCACAGCCTTGCCAACCTCGATGCTGCTTGCTAGGTAGAGGGTAAAGCGAGGCAGAGCACAGATACAGATACCTCCTGGGCCTGGGGTATGCAGTGTCAATGACAGGACAGGATAGCCCATGAGTCCCGTTCTCAGGCATGGAACCTGTCACCCTTGGCCCGCATGGCCCAATAGGGAGCCACATCTGCCCCATTTGTCTGCCCCCCACCCTGGAGGGGGTGCTTTCTGAGACCAAGCAGAGGCAGGAGAGCAGCCTGGCTGGCAGATGGGCACCTGGGGAAGCTGCCAGTTTGAGGAAGTGGGTTGGGATGGTTGGCAGAGCCGTTCTGGGGTGGAGGTGCTGGACGGGAGGGGAGGGGGCAAGAGGAGGGGCAGCTACCTCTGCTGAAGATGGGGCTCTCGTAGGGGATCTTATTTCGAGTCTCGAGACTAGAGCAGTTCCAGCGCTGGTCCCGGAACTGGTGCTGACACTCGTGGATGGCAATCTGGATGCCCTGGATGGCTGAGGCGGCCACGTCAGGGTGGCGCACACACACCTCCATCTGCCGCCTGCTCAGGCCCGGCAATGTCAGGCACACGGTGTTGGCGTTGAGCACGGGCTCCGGGGGAAGGCGGAGGCCCAGAATGTCATTGGGTGCAGACCTGCAGGCGTGTGGGAGGGGGGTGGGTGAGTGTTTGGGGGACTAAGAGGACCCCATCTCACAATACACAATCTATCCCAAAGGCCACATTCCCTGTGTTTCAACCCTTGCCTTTTAAGTTTGGGCCCGTCAGTGTACCCCTAACGCATTCTCCTTTCCCTGACCTTCCCGCCACCATCGCCTCCAACAAAACCCACCCCGCTGCACACCCACACAGGTTAACGTGCAAGTGCACATATCCAGAATGGCTGCGCACACAATATTTAATGAATGCACCCTTGGGCATAGCTGCTCACATACACTGCACTCCCAGAAGACCACTCTTAAAGACATGTTTCAGAGAGTCCTATTCTTAAAGACACACTCCTGCACATTGAGGCGAACACCCAGACCCAGATCACTCGCGCGTGCGCGCGCACACACACACACACACACACACTTCATCAGACATAATTACACACATACACGAATACACACCAATATACACCATGTTCATTTGATACATTAATCCAGGAGCTCTCACATTTGCACACACAGATTGCTGTTTAGAACATAGCTTGCTGGACTCACTCAAACACACACACGTACACACAGACACACTGAGAACACTTCCATCTTCGGTCTCTCACCGACCCCACCTGGGCTACATTCTTCCAGCCCCCAACCCCTGCTCCTGCCTGTGGGCCATCTCCAAGGTGGAGCAAGGCAGTGCAAGCTTCCTGGGGTGGGGTGCATTCCCCCAGCGCAGCACAGAGCTCCAGCTTGGTACTTGCTCCCCGCCCCCAATACACACACCTTCCCTTCTAGTAGCCATCACTCTCCTGGGCACTGCCCTGTCTCCTTGGACTGCCCATATTCTGTCACCAGTTCAACGTCCTCCTATGAGAGCACTTTCATTGGGCACCAGAAGTTTCCTGCGACACTGTCCCTCCCTCCTTCCAGGGTCCCCTGCCCCAGCAGGAGCGCCGCAGGCCCCTGTGGCTGGGGGTCCCAGCTCTCCAGGAGGGCGGAGCATAAGGTGAGGGCTCACCTGGGCAGGGCGGCAGCCAGCAGCAGTAGGAAGAACAGGAGAGCGCACAGCGCGGGCCGCGGCTGGGGCCCAGGTCGGAGAAGCCGCAGCCAGGGGCAAGGGTGGGTGCTGCCCATGGCGCGCGGGCCGTGACGGACGGGGAGTGGGGGGCTCACAGCCCAGCGGGACTGGCGAGCCAGGGACGACGGCGCATGATCCGCGGGGGTCGGGGCGCCTGCGACACACAGCTCCGACTTGGGTCACGGCTCCGGGAGCAGACGGCGCCCGCCTCCCCGCTCCATGGGGCAGCGCCCCCGGGCACCGCCCCCGGGGGGGGTGGCGGGCGGGCACACCGGGCACCTCCTGGCACAGGGGTCCAGGGAATTTCCCAAGGCCCCCCTGCGACAATTCCTGGTGCCTCTGGAGGGTGAGGGGGGCCCGGATATGCTGCGGGTTGGGGACGAGAGGCTGGGGTGCCGGGGAGCCCCCCAGCGCTGCGCCGCGAGCCTGTGCTTCCGAGGGCGTGTGGGGCGGGACGGGGTGGGGGGTGGGGGGGGGCGGCGCTGTCTGTGCCCGGCCCCACCGCCCAGAGATTGAGTGACTGTCCTGGCTCAGGGAGCTCCGCCGCCTCCCCTCCCCCCGCCCCCCCCGTAGAGTGTCTCCAGGCTCTACCCCACGTGACGTCACGACGGGGTGGGTGGAGGAGTGTACGCGACTTGAGGCCACTGCGGCCACTCAGGACTCCGGGTGGGAGCGGCCACGCGGCGGGCAGAGGAAGGAGAGGTGTTGGAGTCTGTGCGCGCGGGCACAGGGAGGTGCCAGGGCGCCGGACGTGCTGGTTTGTGCGGAAGGTGTGTGTTACTGGGAGGTGTGGGTGCCTGGCTGAGACGCAGCTGCTGGGGGGCGGTCCCCCTCCCTGCCTCCTCCGCCAATATACACACCTGCGAGGTCTGCAGGGGAGAGGCTGGCCCCTCTGCTCGCCTCCCCCACCTCAGGAGGGACTTCCCGGGCTTGGCTGGGGAGGCAGGTGTGGGATCCTGCAAAGGGGCTTGGCAGCTTCTGGATCTCGCTTTTCTTCGCTGTGTGACCTTAAACAGGTGCCTGCTGCTCATTGAGCCACCCTCTTCTCCTTCGTGAAATGAGATTAATGAGGCCCACCTCACCTGGTCGCCTCATCTAGCCCGCGAAGGTAAAATTGCTAGGACTCCAGCAGCAAATGCTTGTCTGGGAGCAGAGCCCCCGGGGCCGCACATCCTGGGAGGAGGGCTTAGAGAGCCTTTTAATCCTAAAAGTGTGCTTTGAGGTCAGCATATTTCATCCTCTTTTATGTGACAAGAAAATGTTGAGGCCCAGAGAGGGTGATAACTTACTCAAGGTCACACAGCAAGTCAGTGGAAGAGCTGGAACCAAAGCCAGTTTGCTTGACTCTGGGCACAGCAGCAACTGCCCAGACACTGTGCACCGCTTGCCAAGGCCCTGCTCTTGGACACTCCAGGTCTTGCCCTGGCTCTGCCACCGCACTTGGTCCTCTGGGAGCTCCCCAACACCAGCCCTCCAGCTGAGGCCCACCCCTCTCTGGGCCCCCTTCCCATCTTCCCTCCACACCTGAACACTGGGCTGAGCGTGCTGGACCCAGGCAAGGGCCTGATAGCCAGAGGGCTGGGGACAGAGGCTTCAGCCTCTGATTCTGGTTCTAATCTGGGCCCTGATAGTGAATCCCACCCTCACTGTGACCTTAGCATCCTCCTCTACAAAATGGGTACAAGCCTCCCACTCTATACACACACCTCCCTCCCCACCTCACTAATCTCTCTCTCTGAAGGGAGCCCCTACTGGTTTAAGGACAAACTACTGGAACCTCTGGGCTCAGAGACAAAAGGGGCCCTTTCCTGGAACTGGCCATTCCTGGGGAATTGGGGGAGGGGGCGGGGCCTCCTCTGTCCCCAGACTGTCAGGTGGTAGAGGCAGCCTGAGCAACAGCAGGCTGACAGCACACTCCTCCTTTCATTGCCCCATTGCTGCCGGCAGGGACTGCAGCTGTCAGGAATTAAGGGCTTGAGGCTGCTGGGGGTGTGGGGGGGGGGGCTGTGGGGGGAGCAGTCTGGCTGGACAGCAGGAAAACAGCCGGGGGCAGGAAGCAGTCTGCGTCAGCCAGAGCCTTGTTTGACCCCATCCACCCCTCCCCTCCCCACTCTCCCCCACCACGCTGCAGGCACAGGGAGTTTGGGAAGGGTATGCAGAGAGGCAGGGCAGGGCAGGGCTGGGCTCAGCACAGGAAGAAGGCCCAAGCCCAGGGCAGGAGAGGGCACCAGCAGGGGCAAACCAGGTTGGGGGTTCATGCTCCCATTGGCTGCTGGGGAAACTGAGGCCCAGAAAGGATTAGGAACACACGCCATCAGGAATGTGACACGCTGAATGGGTTCCTAATCCTCCTTACTCCCTGTCCGGTGCTCACACTAGCATTTCCCATGACCCATGCATCCCATATAGCCCCTGGGGTGGGCCATTGTGGGAAATACTGAGTCCAGCCCCAAGCAGCTTGAATCATCCTTTCCAGGGACAAGGCCTGGGGGCCTGCATTCCTAACTGGTGTCCTGAGGGATTTTTGCGAGGACCACATTTTGGAAACACTGCTGATCTGCTGAGTGATATTTTTCCTTTGGCCTCCCCCTAATGAGGAGGGGGTCTGTTTGCTCTCCCACCTCCTACTGTTCATGAACTATAGACATGTACAGGAGAGAGAGAAGACACTTTCTCTGAGACCCCAACAGGCAAATAGTGATGTCCAAGCCTTGCTTGCATTGGGATGTGCTTCTGGACCGATGTCAGGGGGGTTTAGAAACACCCAAGCCCAGAGCAACTCTCCACAGCTCAGGGAAGAGAGGGCATATGTAGGCACAGGGCCTTGGCCTATGTGCAGATGAAGCCCAGAAAGAGTGTCTGGCCCAGCCCCATGTGACCCATGCCATGGGCAGCTCCTAGGCCCCACCCTGGCCCTGCCCTGGGCCTGGCCCTCAGCCCGGCCCCAGCCCCCGCAGCCGCAGCCTGAGACCACAATTACAGGGGCCACTGGGGGTGGGGGAGCACCAAGGCTGAAGGCAGCTCGGAGAATGGTTCCAGCTGTGGTGGCTTTGGAGGAGGTTTCAGGGAAGGGAGAGCTGGGACGGCACCAGGGCGAGAACAGGTGGGACCTTCAGTCCTGCTGCTCTGCCAGAGAAGTTTGTCTTGGTGAAGGAGAGGGGAGGGGTCCCAGGCTGATAAGGGAACTCTTTGTCCTGTTATCAGGGTCTCGGGGACCACTGCCCCTTACCAAGGTAAGGGAGCGTAGCTTGCTGCTTCAGTCCCCCAAACACCTAATTTGTTTGGTCACTGAAGGGAAGGGTAAATGTTCTTTTGAGCCCTCAGCTTCAGGCTGATCCTGACTGCACCTTCCAGGTGGCCTCCACACCCATCTGCCTGTATTCTGGCTGTTCCTGATACGGTCACACACACATCTGGAGCATCTCTGTGCTCTTCCCCTATCTCCTTGGTTCCACATGTCCTCCATCACTCAGCCAGCAGGAGACCTTGATGGCTCAGATTGCATCTGGGGCTGAGCAACTGGGTCAGCAAGGGAGGTAGTGGTGTGATGGAGCATCTCTGAGCTCTGTTTCCAGCCCCTTCCCAGGCAGCAGTGCGGGAGCCCAGATCCAACTCTGAGCCCAAAGGACTAGGCTCATGGCCAAAATAGTGCCTCTTGGGCCCTTTTTCTCACCCTTCGCAGATGGCAGTTTCCAGACCCCTGCTGGGCTTGGTCACAGAAGATGGACCACTCCCATGTGACTAGCAGTTAAAGATTGCAGTGCACTCTTACAACGTGCTAACTAGCTACCAGACACCCCCGTTTCATGATGGGAAAACTAGGGCTCAGAGGGATTAACTGACTTGATCAAGGTCAAGCTAGCAACCAGGCCTTTTTTCACTGTATTATGCTACTTCCTCTAAATTCCTTTTAACCTGCTTGGGTTGGTATTAGTTCATGCGCTGCTTCAGTTTCCCTGTCTGGCATCACCTGCTCCATACACTCCCCACCCCCAGGACCTGGAAGTAAAGATGGGAGGGAGGCGTCCCAGGCAGTCTGGGACCCTAGCAGCTTGACCCAAGTTGTCTGTGGGTCTCTGTGTTCCTCTCATCCTCCCCTCTCTGGCCTACCACTTTGAGTTCCCCAAATGACCTGTCAGTTGGTCCCTTTCATTGGGAAACCGGGCTCTGTGCACCCTCTGGTGGTCTCTGAGAGAAGTACAGGAGGTTATTTTTAAAGCACTGTACCCATTGCAGAGCTCTGGGGAAAGGCAGAGCTGTGAATATAAATCCTATCTGTAGGGAGCTTCATTTCACCTCCATATGGCCCACGATGCCAGTTCCATTTTTTTCCCTTGGTAAGTTACCCAAGTCTGCTTGGGTAGAGAAGTTCTAAGTCCAAATTCTCCATGACACTTCCTAATGTCCAGGCATTTAACTGGACAGGGAGCCAGGAGAAGCAGGAAGGAAAACACAGGTGTCCCTTCCTTCCCCCAGCAACCTATTCCCACCCCCGCTCCATACATGCCACACTCTGGGGCCCCCTACCTGATCCTTGAGGGCCGATCCAGGCTAGGTCATAGATACAGATGGAGGGGCATCGTGCGGGGGGAGACAGACACCCTGAAAGCCGTGGTTGGGGCCTGTCACAGCCAGGGTGAGTTCCTGTTCCTGTGTTTCATTTGAAGGACTCTGCTGTCCTCCCTATGGCCTCGCGGGGGCGCTGCCAATCCCAGGCATAGTAGTACCTCTCCCTGGACTCTGTTATTGGTTCAAAAATAGGCAAATGACCCAAGTTGACCCAATCAGGGTCTTCCTCGGGACCTCTGCTGGGAAGGCCTTTCTTTTTCAGATGACCAGCTCTAAGAACGTAGGCATAGAGCTGCCACTTAGAGAAAATCTATCTGCAGGAGGAGAGAATGAGGATGGCATGAAAAGAGGCAGAGAGCCTGGCTGTGTAGCTCGGTGGGTTAGAGTATATATGCCAAGGTTGTGGGTTTGATTCTCAGTCAGGGCACATGTAAGAATCAACCAATAAATACATAAATAAGGGGAATAAAAAATTGATGTTTCTCTCTTTCTCTCTCTAAAAATCAATTTAAAAAAAGAAAAGAGAGGCAGAGATAGGCAGAAACAATAGATGTGGGGCTGGGAGAAAAGATTTGTCACATCTTTTGGGTCCCTGGGTTCAGCTGTGCCTGAATTCACTCTTACCTCTGGTCTTACCAGGTATAAGACTCATTAATTAATTTTCTTTGGACCAAGTTAGTCTGAGTTGGATATCTATTTGCAATCAGGGCCTGCCTAATACCAGCTCTCTCTCTCTTTCTCTCTCTCTATAAAACCAGCCTTCTATCCCCATCCTCACAGTAACTACCATTTATCAAGCATAAATTTGACAACTTATTGTGCGCTGTGCTGAGTGCTTCTCATAGTTCAAAAATATCCTTCCCACAAGTTTATGACACCATGGGATGGGTTACGATGGCTGCGCATCCTTTACCACTCTCCCACTGAGAGGCGGAGTCTAGCTCCCCTTCCCTTGAATTTTGGCTGGTTCTGTGACTCCTGTTGACCAACAGTGAGCAAGAGCAAAGCTGTGTAACTTCTAAGGCTGGAACTGAAGAAGAGACTGGCAGCTTCTCTCTCCCAGTTCAGCAAAGTCTATTTCAAAAGCCAGCCTGATGTAATAAGTCCATCCAACTACATTGAGGCCACCGTGCTGTGAGGAAGCCTGAGCTGGGCACGTGGAAAGGAGGAGGCCACTGGAGCAGCTCTGAGGCACTAGACACACATGGGTGAAGCCTCTTGGGCTGCGCAGTCTGGCCCAGCCACCAGGGGAGCCCAATGAACTGAATGGCCAATAGTTCTGCCATAAGGAGCAGAACCACCAAGCTGAGTTTTTGAGAAATTCCTGACCAGAAAGATTGTGAGAAGTAGTTATGTTGGGGTTGTTATGCAGCAATGGATAACTGAAATAGGATGCTATTCCCATTATATAGGTAAAGAAACTGAGACTCATATGATCTATACTGTAAACTTCTACATAGCAACACCAGCTTCAGACCTAAAGCTCTTGCTTTGCCCTACACACCTTGATGGGAGCATTTACAGCATTTGGACTATGAGCAAATTGGGGGCTTTGAATCCCAGCCATTTGGCTATGCATCCCCCGCTTCTCTCTGGAAGGAATATGGGGAACATGAGGTTTAGCTCTGGAGAACCCAGATCCTCAAACCCCTCCTCCTTTCCCTCCACACTCACCATCAGCTTCCTGAGAAAGAACTGGAAGGAAGGACATATAGTTGGGTGCCAGGAGAAACCTTGGGACAACTTTTCTTCATCTCCCTCTAAGTGTAATTAGAAATGCTGTTCTGAGCAGTCTTTTCAATGTTAATGGGGGTAAAGTTCGTTTCAATGTTAAGCCTGATGTTACCAAAAACGTATTTCATCACATTCTACAGTTCATAAAGTGCTTTAATCCTATGGGCTTGAGTAACCCTAAAAGTCTCCCCATGGGCCCCCCTCCTGGGGGTCACATACAGAAGGGCAGAGGAAGGTGTCATGCTCCCCGAGACTTTTGATGGGAGCTGAAGGAGAGCAGCGGCTTCTGTTCCGATCTCCCCAGACTCTCTCAAGAATCTGCTCCTTTAAAGAGGAGTTACTACGTCTTCCCTAGAGTGTAGGTCCAGGCCCTAGATGTGTGACAAGAGTGAGCAAGAAGAATGCCAAGGGGAGACTTGGCGCTCTTCGCTGTGGTTGCCAGGAGAGCCCAGTCCCATGGGCGGAGGCTAGGGACCCAGGGTGGGGAGCTCTGGATTGCCAGTTGTACCAAAACCATCTCCCTTTAGACACTCCTTCCAGAGCCTGGCCCCATATAAACCCGCAGGAGACCAGCCCCCCTCCCAAACTGTGCGCCCAGTCCTATTGGTTTAAATATCTTTATTGATACTAAACTTACCCACCCAACCCATGGCCAGCAGTTCTGAGGAGCCCCGCATCCAGAGGCCTAGAGAAGGGCTCTTTGGTTTCCATCTGGGGGTCAAGGAGAGAGAACTCTCGAGAGCGCATCGTCTCCACCAGAACTCTCTAAAGTGCCTCTGGGAGAGGAGGGTCCCTCCGATGCCCCGCGCCCTCCAGGGCGTGCGTGTATCTCCAGCCTCACCGCCTCAGTTTCCAGGGGCCGGGGAGATGGACCTTGGCAAGGGTCAGCTGGGCCTGGACAGCGCCACCTGCTGGAGCCCAGAGGTCACAAAGATACCGAGAGGCGGCTCTGCGCGCAGTTTGGAGAGCCGCGCGGCAGGTCAGAGGCAGAGGCTGAGCTCCTTGCGCACGAGGCATTGGTGGCACTGCACTACGCAGCACCAGTGAAAGCGGCACAGGCAGTTCTCCTCGAGCTGCACGCTCTCCTGGCGGTGCCCGCGACCACAGCACAGCAGGTCGCAGCCGCTGAGGTCCAGGGCACTGCTGTTGCAGGCGCGGCCCCGAGTGCCGGGAGAGCCTGTGCGCCGGTTGGGGGCGCAGAAGTCGGGCGAGTCGGCAACGTAGAGTAGGTCGGCCCCGCTAGGCGGCTTGAGGCTGCGGACGGCGGGCAGCAGAGCCTTGCCATCGTTAGTGCCCATGACACGTGAGGCGCCGTGGAAGCGCTCGAGCAGCTCCGCGCCCACCTCGCGGAACGGGGGCAGCTTCTGCCAGCAGGTGCGCAGAGCGCAGGAGCCCGACAGTCCGTGGCATTTGCACTCGGTGCGCGTATGGCTCCGTACAGCCTGCGAGGAGCAGAGGAGCGGTGCAGATGGAGATAGATATGGGGCACGGGGCGCGGAAAGGCCCAGAGGACAGACAGAATGTAAGAGATAGACAGAACGTAAGAGACGGGGTGCGGTCGGAAGAGAGGGAAAACCAGACCTCCTCCCCACAACCTCCAAAAAAAATTTTTTTTTACAAAATGGGCGAGGGCAAGGTGGAGAGGAGCAAATCAGGGAAGCGACAGCCCCAAGAAGAGGGGAAGACTGATACGAATGAAGGAGTAGGAACGACGGGGAACGTGGGACAGAATGTAACACAGAGATTCCAGAATCCAAAGCCAGGGAATGCGGAGAAAGTAGAATGGACAGCAGGAGTGAGATTCTCCCAGGAGGAGGGGCGGGGGGGGGAGGGGAGCGAGGGAGCTGTCGCACCTTCTTCCTCCTGCCAACCCTCACGGCCCCAGGCAGGGCTGAGTAGAGACACAGAGCCTGCTCGCTGGGCGTCTGTCTCCACCACCCCTCCCCAACCCTCTCCAACAGGTATGTGGGCCTGTCAGGACATCCTTCTCTGGGCCCCCTCTTACCACCCCCCCGCCCAATGCCTCGGGTCCAAACCCTAGAGGACACAGGGGGGTGGGGGTGGGTATGGGGGGTGTGCGCGCGCGCGCGCGTGTGCGTGCGCATGCCCCTGGAGCACCCCCGAACTGAGGCATTGGGCCCACTGTGGATGCGCTACTGAGAACTGGCACCCGGGAGTCCTGCCCTTTATTTGCTCTCTGTGTTTCAGAGTCACGGCCCCACTAGAGATTTATGGGTCAAATGACCCAGGGAGATCACCTCTGGAAGCTGAATCTAGGCTCTCTCCTTCCCCCTGGAAACATCCGACCCAGACAGCTTTATTGTCCCCAAACAGGAGCTCCTGTAGCCTCCTCATTGCAGAGAGAAAGGGAGAGGCTGCCAGGGTTCTAGCAGGGCCTGGTCTGGGGTTGCTGGGCAGCCAGTGGACAAGAGCGCAGGTTCTGCTACAGCTTTCCTGGCCTCTGCCTGACCCTCCCCCACCCCCACCCCCCAGGATCTCCTCTAGCCCTTCAGTCCTTTCCAAGCGCATTGCCCCTTGGGCCTGTTCTACCCCCTTGCAGGCTCCCTCACATCTGGCTCCCCTATCTCAAGGCCCCATAACTTTGCCCCAGCTTCTGTTCTTCCTTTCATCCCTAACCTTTGTCTCCATCCTCTGCCCCTGCCCTGGCAGCCACATCTCTACCCGCCCCAAGCTTTATCCACCTGGCCTGTCTCAGAAGTATGCCCTCTCTATCCATGGTCCCTGAGGCCCCAACCAAGTCCTCTTCCCTGGGTGACCTCTCCCTACCCGGTCCCAGGCCCTCTCAAGCCCCCCGAAGTGACTCATCTTCTAGGCTGGCCACCTCGCCTCCCACATGCCCGTCAAGGCCCCCAACCAACCTTCCCAAGTGGCCCGGCACTGCCATGCTGGCTCCCACGCGCATTAACATACTCTGCACGTACACACCCTCTCTCATGCCCTCCCTTCCTCACACACCTCCACACATATGCTCCTACACTCACCCGCACTCATACACGTGACTCTCCCACATCCCCTGACACACGCTCACGTGCACACACACTCTTACACATCCCTGCCCATACTCACCAGCCGGCCTGCCTCATTGTTGTGAAGCTGCACCAACGCTCGGATGTCCCCACTGCCCCGCTTGTGCCGCGCATCCATAAAGAGCCTGGACTTCTCATCTCCGAAGTCCACATCATCGCCGCAGCCTCCCCACTCCCAGGCTGCGCTGCCCTCTGGGGAGCCCACAAGACCAGGGGGCCCAAGGGTGCCTGGCAGGCCAGGGGGTCGCGGTGGGGCCCGCCTGCGGGGCGCCTGGCAGCCACACTGTAGCAGCTCGCCCATGGAGCAGGCCTGCGTGACTGCGTGGCTGGCGCCCGCAGCCGTGATGGCAAAGACGAAGGCAGTCTCCCGGATGTCTGTGGGGACAGGGAGTGGCAGTCAGCCACAGCACCAAAGCTGAGTCCTGGGGGTCTTGGCGGGCGGGGCAGTGGGGGGGGGTTGGGTGGGGCAGGGAGACAGGGTCAGGGCAGAGTGCCCAAAGGCCCATGGGAGAGGTGGGGCTTCGGCAGCCTCCCCAAACCTCCACCCTCTTCTCTGGGCACCCAGAGCCCTTCCGCAGACTGACCCTGCTGCAGGATGCGCCCAAAGGCCTTGCTGTGGCTGGAGCAGTTCCAGCGGCGGAAACGGAACTGGAACTGGCACTCTCGAACCCCGAGCCGGGCGCCCCGTGCTAGCTCGGCCACCACTTCCGGCTCCTCCTGGCACAATTCGGCCTGCCGCCCAGCCAGCCTCCGTGCCTTCCTGCAGATACTGGTGGGGTCCATGACCAAGGGGCTGCCCACCGCCCTGGGAAGCAAAACACAGCAGGTCAGGGATGCAACTCGAAGGGCTGAGGTGACAGAGAAGACGACCAGCCCCGCTCGGCCCACAGCCAGGAGCCCAGATATGCACCCCCTCCAGCCCACCGTCAACTAAGATTGAGATTCTCCTATCTGGTTCTCCGACCATTCCACCCATGTCTGTGTTTCTTCTTAACTAGATTCTAGACTGAAATTATTACAGAACAAGGATTCAGTCTTATCCCTCTGTGCACATCTTCATTAATAAATCCTTATACAATTTTGACTCAAGCTGAAGGCAGCTGGCACCGGGTAGGCCAAGACTAAAATTCAACAGGCCTCTCCCAAAAGGGAGAAGAGGAAGTAATTAAGAGAGGAAGATCAAGAAGCCTATCAAAGAAAATAAATTATGTATAGATACTAAAGCAAAAGAGCTTTAGAAAAAGATCTGGTCTTAGTGGACCACAAGCTGGATATGTCAGCTGAATGGCCCTGATGCTAGAAAGGCAGGGGATTCTATGGGATTTAGAAAGCCATCGGGTGGCTGGGGAACGAAGGCCCTGAGGGAAGTCGCACTCCCTCTGCTGCTCATGTTTCTCCTGTAAAATGGGAAGGATGAGCTTTGACCTCTAATGGGGGCCCTCTCACTCTGATGGCCTCTGGCCCCCTGAACTGGAGAGTGGGAGGAAGGAGCTGGAGACTGAGCCTCCGAAGCACTGTGAAGCCCGTGACAGTGACTCTTCTCCTGCTCCAGGAACTGTGGCCTTTCCAGGGCAGGATGGCAGCAAGCCAAGCCCTGTGCACTGGAGTGACAGAACCAATGGGCGAAGGGGGCACTGCCTGGGCAGGTAAACACCTCATGGGAAGGTCCACACATTTTCAGAAACCCCTCCCTGCCCAGCCTTCATTCTGACAAGAGAGCTCCCATTTGGTTTTCCAATACCAGGCCCCTGAAGGTTAACGGGACTGGGTGTTCACCCCCAGGTGGAAGGGCTTTCGTCTCCCTCCAATTGCTCTTATTGGAATGCTTAGCTGGGATCCCTGTCTTGTAGGAATGAGTGGGTGGAGCACTTGGGAGCTGAGGGTAATGTGAGACCACTCAGAAACCCTTCAGCAGAGGGCAGGAAAAGCCTCTGGGCGGCAAGAGAGAAGTAGTTCCAGAAGAGAGCAAATGGAGAGGAAAGCGGAGGTAGTCAGGTGACAAAGGTCAAGGTGGCCTCCTTTCAAATTAGCCATAGTGCCCGTCCACCCCCACTGTCCCTGTTTGCTCCCCAGGCACAGGCTCCCCAGGCATGTTTTGGCTCCACAACAATGCGATGTAACAGGTTTAAATAGCAGCAAGAAGAATTTAGGTCTTACGGTGCAACTTAACATTGGGGAGTGAGATGCTTGAAGAGGTGGTCGCAGGAAGGAGTATAAGTTTGGTCTTTAGGGTCTCCTACCGCCCACACGCACGCACAACACTCACACACACCTGTAGGTCATTGTCATCATCTCTATTCAAGTCGTCAGGGGTGGAGGGTGCTCTATTCAAGGTTGCCTTCTTAGTGGAGAGGCTTACAGTCCAGACCAGCGATACTCAACCCGTGTGCCACAAGAATTTTTAAAACATGCACTACCTGACTATTTACTCAGGAGCACTGACCTCTTCTCCCTTAGGCTGTCAAATCAAAGAACGAAAAGAGCCAGCACAACAATAGCAGTCCAGTGTGAATGAATCAAAATTATACCTGTTTTTGGTCAGATGGGCAAAAATATATTTTTATATAATATACTTATATACTTTGATAATATAGAACACATTCTGTGCTGCCGAATTTTAGTAGTTAGCTTATGTGTGCCAGGGGATGAAAAACGTTGAAAATCACCACCTCTTCCATGCTTAGGACCTGCCCATCACTGCATTCCAGCTGTGGCCTGGGAAGTTCCAACCCCAACCCTTTCCCAACCCTAGAGAAGTGATGGATGGAGCAGTGGGGAGTCGGCCAAGGGTAGGGCAGCCAAGCTGGCTCCCAGTGGCCCAGGGACCTTCAAGAGTGGATCTCTATCTCTCTATCTATCCATCTACCCCGCCCCCATCCACCTATTTCACCTCATTACAAAAAGAATTTGAGGCTGCTCCCAGCCTCAAATGGTGCCTGCATGGTCACACAGGGTCAGTAGGTAAAACAATAAACATCTTACGAGTTAGAACCGTCATTTTCTTTTGTCTCCTGGGCAGATTTTTAGGTGCTTAATCATATTTCCCCTCAATTTTTATGAAAACTTTGCATATGATGAATAATTGCTATAATACTACAATGAACACCATTTAATACCTGTTTTTGAGTGCATACATGAGCCCTGTAAGGAGAAGGCCCTCACTTGAGTTCAGCCCTTGTCCACGTGCCATTTCATGACAGCTAATTAGTTTCCACGAACACTTTATTTCTCCCACTGAATTCAGAGGCAGGAGAACAGACCCCCCCAGTTGTCCTGGTCCTCTCCTACCCTGGACTCCACATGTCCAGGACCCCACCTAGGAGTCTGGGGCTCGGCACACTCAACCCTCCCCACGCTACTGAGTTCCCCAGTCCCCTCCCCAACTCTGCCCTCTGCTAACTCCCTATTTTCCCAAGGTCGACTGGCCTTATCTTCCCAAGGTTACTCGGTCCCCATCCCTCTCCTCTCCCTCCTCCAGTCCTAGGAAAGCAGGAGAGGGAGGGGGCACAGAGGGAAGAAAGACAAAAATCTCTTGACCTTATCTGCTTCCCAGGGGCTAGAGATAGAGGACTCAGGAGATTCCTGGCTGCCTGGGAACTAGACTTGTTTACAAGCTGGTCAGAAGAAGGGATGGGCAGTAGTGGCGGCCAGAATCCCAAGGGACCAGTTTGCTCCCTGCCCTCCGGTCCTCACTCCCATCCTCAAGTCACATGAAAGGGAACTCCAGAAAATGAGAGGCAGGGGCGCATTGGGCAAAACACCGAGCCTCATTTCCATACCCTGGTCTCTGTCAGCTGAGCCATTCTGGGCAAGTCAGGTCCTTCTCTGCACTTCAGAAACGGGAGGGGTTAGCATGAAAAGCTCGAATACTCCCTCTAACTTTAACATTTGATTCCGCATCAAGAAATAACTCCCCTCATCTTCCCTCTTCCTTTACCCTCCTTCCTTCCCTTCTGCTTCCTTAGGGAGTGAATTCTGCAGTTGGTGCCTCTGAGTCAGCATTGTTCTGGGACCAGCCCATAGAAGCTGTGCCCACTTGGGAACATCTGCATGTTTCGGGGCTGGAGCGCAGTGGTGGTAATAAATATGTAATATAGAATATGTAAGGTCTGCGATCCTAATCAAGGAGACATTCCTGGGCATAAAAACAATGAGGCTAGCCCTAAAAGAAATCAGTATGCAGACAAGAAGGGACAAGCCTAGGGTTAGCCACTCTAACTGGCTTGGCCTGCGCCAAGATCTTCCTCCCAGGGAGCTTGGTGACAACAGGGGCTGTCCAGTTCCTACTGGCAACCTGTGTAGATCTCGCCCAGGAGGGCCCGGGTTCTAGCCTAATCTACCTGTGCTTTCCCAGATTCACAGGGTCGAAGAGAAAGCCAAAGATCATGTAGTCGAGCTCCACAGGTCTGACCTCCATGATACAGATGAACAGCGTGAGAAGGGAGGTGGCCAATGCTGGCCATTGCAACTTAGGTGAATACTTTAAAAATGTAAAGGGCTGGAGGGAACTGGCCACTGGAGGTATCAGAAAGCATCAGGTGGCTTCGCACGCCATCCTCCACACAGTCCTTACTCCTAGCGGCGTCGGCTAACTCTGCCGCCACCCCACATTATACCACTAAATTCCTGGACTCACAGCTGCCCCCTCCTCACCCCTAAGTCATCAGAATCTTACCCAGATTCTCTCCAAGCTCATCCAAGCTCCCACTTGCCCTAAGGCACCACCTCTGGGCCCCAGCCCTCACTGACCGCGCCTGCCAGCTACGTCATTCTACCTGTCACTCGTCGGGGGCTTACTTGTTATCCTGCCAATGGCATCATTACTTTGTCATGTTTTCTTGTCTCTCTCTCCAATTAGATAGGAAGCTCATTAAAGACAAAGATTTCACGAGGAAACATAATGTCAGTAGTCGGAGCACCCTCAGGGCTGTGGGGACCCAGCAGACATGGGTTTGGATCTGGGCTCTGCCATTTGCTTGTTCTATGATGTGGAGCAAATCTCTACTAGGTGAAGTTGGCCCTTAGTATTTGCTGAATGGATGATGAGACTTAACCTTCTGAGCCTGCCTCTGCAATTGTGAAAGGAAGCAAATAATAACACCTGCCTACTTCCCAGGTGACATATGAAGGAAACCTGCCGAAAGAGTGGGCTTCCACAAGTGCTTTTGTCTTCCCATTCACACCCTTATTCCTCTCTTGGCCTGCACAGTGCAGGAAAGATGGTAGGAGTGCAGGTGACATTTACAGATTCCTGAGAACTCTCTTTTCTCCAGCTTTCTGTTCTTACTCTCCAGCCTGGATCTGGGTGTCCCCTCGCCTATCAGCCCTGCCCATGGACCAGAGAACCCTGCAGGCCCCCTGCCCCCTTCCCCCCAGAGCGCTCCTGGGTGGACTATTGAGGCCGAATGGATCACAGACCCTTCTGATGCCCAGTGTCCTCAGAAAGGTCTCACAGCCAGCTCTCTATTTGCCCACATATACCACGCCCCCCCACCCCGGGGTCCCTCATCTGACCCTCACCTCCTGGAGCCGGCAGAGGGAGCCCTGAACCCTGGGGCTGTGGGTGGGGGCGGCACGGGGGTGGGGGAGGTGGGTGGTGGAGAAGGGGCAGAAAAATGTTGCCTGACTGCTGCGGAGGCGGCTGGGCCCGGGCCTGTGCCCGCCCGCCTGTCCTGTCCTGCTCTGTCTAACTCCCTAATTACTGCTCCCCCTCCCCCAGTCCCTACTCCCACCCCAACCACCACATCAAAGCCGGTGATGCCCCAGCGCCATTAACCCCTGCCTCCCCACCACCTACCCGCTCCGCCCCTCCCACACCCCCACCTCAGTTTGGTTCCCTCTGCGCTGTCCCGGACGCTGCCCTTTCTGCCTCCTCACACTTCCCTCCTCTCCACTCCCCTCTGGAGACGCAGGGGCTCTCCCTTCCCCATGGACTCCAGCAGACAAGAGGGCTTCCTATGGATCGGGGCTGTGGGAGGCCAAGGAGTAGACACGGTCATCTCCTGCAGGATCCCCTGAGGACAGTCTGCGCCTCCTGCTCTCCCATACGGAGGTGAGGTGCACCCATGTGAGGGTGGGGATGGGTGAGCAGAAAGGGCTTGTGGAAGGCCCTGCACCCCTTCCCTGACTGCCGCCCCCCCAGGGCACCCAGGATGAGATCCTCAGCAGGAGGCGGACTCCTGGTCCCAACACTCCGCTCCCTGCGTTCTGTGTGGCCTTGGGCTACCTCCTGTCCCTGGACTTGGCTGGATTTCTTACTGTAAGTGAGAAGATGGGACCAGATGATCTCTAAGCCCTGTATTGGTCTAATTTCTGGATTAAAGGGAGGGCTCCGTGCTGGAGGAACCAGCCAAAGAGGCGAGGTGGCAACTGGAAGAACCCTGCTAGCAACCTTTCCCACCCTCAGCTCCTCCTCGGGCAGCCCAGGGGCACCCGAGGTCTCCTCCCATCCCACTCCAGGCAGGAAGGAGGGCTCAGGCTAGAGGGCGCTCTGCCCAGTCCCCAGGGACCAGCTTCTCTGCTCCCAAGTGCCTCCTGCTCCGGCTGGCTGGGTGCCCTGCTGCCAGCCTGACCACAGCCTGGCTGCCTGCCCCGCCCTCGCCTCATCCCCTCTGCAGCTGCATTTCTTCATCAAAGTACACATTAGAATCCCCCTGGATGGGCCCCGGTGATCAAGCCTCTGGCTGACCTCCCCCCACCAAGTCCTGGCTTCTGATGAGAACCAGGCAGGAGGGGGCTGCACCCCCCAGGAAGTGTCGCAGTGCCAGGACTCTGGGGGGCTCAGGGCATGCTCTGGCCCAGACTGAGCCAGCCTCCTTTTGCCCCTGCCCTTTTCTGCTCACAGCCTCATTGTCTTCCTCCAGGGGAAGCTGCCAAGGCGGGAGGCCTGGCGGGTGGGGCTGGGTGACCACCCCACCCCCACCCCCACCCCACCCCGAGCTTGGCGGGGACCAGCAACAAGACTGCCCACAAAGGATGAGGGGCCCCAGATAAAGACTGGGTGGGAGAGTGTGGCCAGGCCTAGCCCGGGGTGGGGAGCACAGCTGGAAAACCTGGGTTTCAGGAAGCAGCCTGGTCTTTTCCCTGCCTCCCCGTGGGGCCAGAGATGAGGTTCTCCTGGGCCTGTGGTTTCTGTTTCTGTAAGGGAAGGGGAGGGTTTGAAAAGCAAGATGAGATGCGGGAAGGGAGTGAGACTGGGTGGTGTTTTTCCCAGGGGAAAGGGGGAGGGTAGTTTCTTTCTTAGAAAATATAAAACAGAAAGAGGAGAGAGGAAGAGAGAAAAAGGGAGATCGATCGGGCTATTCTGTGAAACTGAACTATTTTCTACATCCATTAATTGAAAGTATAAATAAAGATGGGTCAGACATTAAGAAGAGCTTTCCAGGGGCAGGGAGCAGGTAGAAGGGTGCCGGGGACTAGGAAAGCTATAGCCTCTCTCTCTCTCTGCCTCATTCTCAAGGTGGGATCTGTCAAGGCCAAGGCATTGGCTAGACAAGATGGTCCCAAGACAGCCTGGCCAATGTCCTGGAATCTGGGACTCAGCGGTTCACGAAGAGAGTGTTACTTACAGGTGCGAAAGAGACAGGCAGAGAGGCTGGGGGCAAAATTTAGAAAGCGTAAATTGCATTAGAGGCAGAAGCGGGGAAAAGGAAAGAAGTGAGAGGGAAACCTCTGTAACCTGGAGCCTCAGTCCCTGAGCCTATTCCAGGGCCTGGGCCACTCCTCTCCAGGACCCTCCTTTTCTAACCAGTCTGGCCCTGTCATCCAGAGTTCCTGGGGTCCTCTGTGCTCCCAGTCTGGCTGCCACCAGGATGTCAGAGTGGGCTGCAGCGGGCTGCCGCGGTCCAGCTGCTCTCTGGCCCACCACTGGAGCCCTGGCCCAGCCAGCATTCTCTGAGAAGTAGGGAGGAAAGGGCCAGCGAGGAGGTCCTAGGTGTCAGAGAACAGCCTGGAAGATCCTGGCCTGAAAAAGCTCCTAGTCAAAGTGAAACTGGGGGCAGGGGGGTGGGGATAAAGAGAGGTAGGAGCCTCAGGCCACCCAGGGGTGCTGGGTCAGGTCCACCAGCCCGGTCCTGATCTTGGAGGGCAATGATGGGGTGTGGTGGGGACAAGAGTATAAGCAAGCAGGGCCAAAGATCCTGAGAGAGGGAATCTGGGCTCAGACCAAAGGAATGAAGTATCAGAAACAGACAGCGGAGAGTGAGGGGGCTGAGGCGGTCGGGAGAGGCAGGTTCTCTCTGAGAAGCATCTGAGTGAGGCAGTCTCTGGACACCTTATCACCCCAGCCCCTCACTCTTCACCCTGCTCGCCCTGCAGCTGTGGCCATGAAGGCTTCTGTGTTCTCCCACACCTGCCCTCCTCACCTCCTCCCCCTCCTTGTTTCTCAGCTTCAGGGTCAGTCTCTAGGGGACCAGGTCTCCCTCCCTCTGGTTTGGCTCTCACCCAGCAGCCCCTCCTAAGCAAAGGAACCCCCACAGATACAAATCCCAAAAAGGTGAATCAAACAATTCAGCAACACCCCATAAAACTGTCCCTGGCACCTTTAGCCTCCAGGGCCCCAAAGGCCAAGGTTCTGTCTTCCAGGACCAGGGAAGAGACATGGGAGAGGATGTGGTTGTGGAAATGCAGTAACCGGCATAGTTGCTCAATGCATGGGGTGCGTTGGGAGCACAGAGAAGGCAAGGGAGGGAAGACAGAGGGACAGCTTAATGAAGGAAGTGTCATTTTAACTGGAAGCATGAGGACAACTTGGACAAATGGAGAGGGAAGGCAGAGAAGGTGACATTGTCAGGGAGAAACCCCTGTCCCCATACCTTGAGAAAGGGCAAAGTTAGGGAAGGTGTTTGGGAAGAAAGAGAGAGACCCTTTTGCAAAGTTTTGCTTGGGACCCTGGATTTTAAACAGAAATGAATCCCCCTTTACACCCATGAGGTCTCTGGACAGGAGAACCTGGAGTGTGAAGGGGGGAACTTACATTTAAGGAGTGTCTACCATTGTCAGATCATTTCGTAAATCATCCACCTAATGCTACTACCAAGCCTGCTAGATAGGGAAATTGTTTCTCTATTTTGCAGCTGAAATGTTGAGGGGGGTGGGGCGGGCAGCGGAAAAATGTGACTTGCCCAAGGTTACAAACTTTCCAAATGGAGAAGATGAGCTCTCAGGTCTGTTTTAAAGCTGCTACTGCATTATACGAAGCCAGGATCAAAGGATGCATGTTGCTTAGCCAGGACCTGGGCCGTCCTCGGTGTGCACCTCCCCGCCCCCAGCCCCACAACTGACACCTCCGGGGGACGCTCTCCCGCACCACGGAAGAGGGATCTTAGCCAGCAGCTCCCGGTGTGAACATCCTCCTCTCTGTCTCCCTAGAACAGCAATTGTCGACCGGTGTGCCCCAGGAAATTTTAAAACGTGCGATACCTGGCTATTTAGTCAGGCGCACTGACCTCTCTTCCCTTTGGTTGTCAGTGACAGCAGCCCAACACCATAGCCACCCAGTGTGAATGAAGCCAAATTATATCTACTTTTTGTCAGATTGGCAAAAAATATATTTTTTTGGTGTGTCACAGAATTTTGGTAATTAGTTTATGTGTGCCATGAGATGAAAAAGGCCGAAAAATCGCTGCCCTAGAAGAGACTGATCTGCCCGCTCCACCCCTCCTTCCAAATCCCCCGAGGTTGAGTCGGGGGGAGCGGAGTGTAGAAAATCCAGCCAATGACATGGCTATATGCAAATAAGAAAGACCCTGCCTTCTTAGGATTGGCTGGTGCATCAGCGATATCGTCCAAGTCCCTCCTCTCTAAACACCAAAGCTATTCCGGGACGGTCTTCCCTGCTCTGGAGACTAGGAAGGAAAAAAAGTCCGCGGGATCCAGATGTCCGAGCGGTCCCGATTGAGCGCCCACCTTCCCAGTCCCTACCCCAGTGCTCAAGGCTCCGAGTTCCTACAGCCTTGGCTGCCTAGGGTGTCTGTCTAGCTAGGGCCAGTTCCGGAAAGATGTCCTCATCCCTTGGCTGGCCAAGCCTCCCTCCCTTTCACCAGATCCTCCCCGGTTCCCAGTACCTTCTGAGCTGCACATTTACTTTATCCTGGTCCCGGTCCTTGGCACCTTGCAAGGTCCCGGCGCCTGAGTCCCTTTCCTCCTCCTCTTGGTTAGGGAAGGAGGAAATAGAGAAAGCCAAGGTCCAGACTCAGTTTCCCCTTTTCGTCCCTTTCTTGCCACTAACCGCCCACACTGAAGGAGCCCTGAGAGAAGTGGCTGGGTTGATGAGCAAAGTGGGGCGAGGAAGAGGCCGCCGTTTGACCCTACCTACCTGCCTATGGCTTCCTACTTTGTCCGCCTCCTTCCCCCAAATCCAGTCCACCTCCCCTAAATCCAGAGTCCTCCTCGCACTCTATTCTTCGGATCACTGACTACAGAGCTTCCCCCAGTGTCCCGGGTAGCTCTTTCCTCTTCACCCACCAATGGCGTGGTGACCTGGATTGAGCGCATAACCTGGGAGGGAGGTGGGGTGGAGGCCACGGGAGGAGGCAATACAATAGAATGGGGGGGGGGGGTAGGTTAGAGCCGCCGAAGTGGCAGTTCACAAGTGCCCCGGGTGGAGGCCGGCAGGAGAGCGGTACGCACCTCCCCCGCACCGCCCCAGCGCGCAGGTGGAGCCGGGAGGCAGCGGGACTGCGGTTCGAAGCAATCCGTCACGAGGTCCCCACCCTCGAGCGTCAGGAGCCGCGCCGGGACAGCCCGGTGCAGGACTCACCACCACAGTCCACCGACGTGCGCAGGACACAGGAGCAGCAGCAGCAGCAGCCCGAGGCGGGAGGGCGCCGGCGGCAGCATCGTAACCGCTCGAAGGCCCACCGGCGCGGGCAGGGGGCGAGGCTGCGGAGCCGGCCGGTGCGTGCAGGGGCCCGGGCTTCAGGGCGAGTGCGGCGGCGGCGGCGGCGGCCGGGAGGCAATGGCTCCGGTGGCAGCAAGAGGGCCCATCCCGGGCGAGAAGGGCGCGGCGGAGGCGGAGAGCGGACGGGGCAGCCAGCGCCTGTGTCTCCTGCCGAGCTCGCTCGGGAGAAGAAATCAGAGCCGGGGGCGGAGGTGGGAGGGGAGCGGGGCCCGGGCGGGGGCGGGGGGCAGGGAGGCTTGTTGGGGTGGCAGTTGCGACAGTCAGGCGGCGGGACTCTCGGGAGGTAGCCTTGAGCCCCGGGGCGGCAGGCGCGGAGCGCCGCGGAGGGCGGGAGCGAGGGTCCGGGGCGGGGCCGGGGAGCGCTCGTGGCAGCCGGTCCCGCCTGCCTCGCCCCCTCACCTCGCCTCTCGCGGAATGGGAGCCCCCCGCCGCCGCGCGGAGTCGGGGGCAAGGAGGGCGGGGAAGTAGGGTGGAGCAGGGTGAAGGGGGGAACGAAGAGGAGCTGAGGAATGGGGGACGGGCTGGAAGGGAGACGTTTGACAGGTTTGTTGACTGTAAAGAGAGAAAACTTCCCAAGAATGAGGGAGTTTGGGGGGGGGGGGGGGTGCGGAGGGCGGTGCGCAGGGCGATGCTGGAATGGGGGCCAGGAGAGGAAGTCCGCCTGGGGCTCTGGGTGCTCCGGGAGGGGTGTCTGTCGAGCTCGAGGGTCGGACAGGCGGACTCTGGAGGGGGTCACCTCTTACCAAACCCCGCCTCCGCCTCTCACGCCCCTTTCTCAGCCTCTCCTTGAGAAAAGGAGGAAGCCCTGGGCCTCCATTCTGGCTCCCCAGCCACCCCGCCTCTTCAAGCCCGCGTTCGGGGGAGGGGGGTGCGGAGGGGAGATTAGAGAGCGAGAGGAATCTCTCGATGGCCTGCGCTCAAGTGCTCGCACGCGTCAGCGAGCGGTGGAGCGGAGGCTGCAGACTTGCAAGCGATTCAGGGATCAGAACTCGCTGCAGCCGGGCCCCACGTATGCGCGTGTTCCTGCCTCCCGTTGCCTCCCCAGCTTGGCGGGGCCAGAAGGGGTGGGAGAGCCAGCTGCAGGTGAGATGGCATTTATTCGATTCTCTAATGCCACAAAAATGTCTTTGATGCCCCTGGCCCCCTCCCCACGTGGGGAGATCAAAGGCTCCGTGGGAAGGAGGGACAGCTCCATTCATCACGGCCTTGGGGCTGGCAGCGGCTGCAGTCCCTGCTCCTCCCCTCCGGCCCCACATGCCCCAGGGGTGCTGAGGGACAGGTGGTGCGGGACATTCCAGAGCAAGGGCCAGTCTCCGAACTACCACCCTCTATCTAGAGTGGCCATCAACCTTTAGGAATGTACTGGGGCAGGGAGGACAGAGCCAGGACCTCAAACCTGAGGTGCAGATACCTCAGGCTCCCAGAGGAAAGCTCTGGGTGGTTTGAGTGGGGAAGCCCCTGAGCGTGGGGAGTGAAGCCACTTCCAAGAAAAACACAGCCTGCGTGCAGAGACGTTCCGAGTACCCCAGAGTGTGGAAACAAGTGGATCAAGATGAGACTGGGGGTCAAGGAGATGTGCCAAATGCCCATAGATGCCTACCCCACGGGAGGAGGCAGACCTGGGAAAGGAAAGGAAGGGTGAGAAATGGAGAAGAGAAAAGAAATGGAGAAATGTTAGCCTAGGCACATAGGGAAGCCTCTGGGTTTGCTGGGAGCCTCACCCCAAGGCCCTGGTGCCTGAGCTGTTTGGTCTAATTCCTGGGTACAGAGAGTTCTGCTGAGGGGCTGGAACACTCTAGAGAAGGGGAGGAGACCTTGGGGGGAGGGGCTGGGGGCTGAGGGAGTTAGTGAGGAGGACGTGGCCCAAGTGCTGCCCTCACAGCCTCCAGATGCCATGCACAGTCCCTGCACCTATTCATTTCAGACACAGTTGCTGTTACTGCAAGGCAAGCCCAACCCTGGGCACTGCACAGTCAAAGATTTGTCCAGGTTAGCCACACACTCAGGCCAGATGGTGCCGAACAGACTGTTGGGGGCTCTGTGGGGGTCCCTGGAGGCTGCAGGTGGCCAATGACCAGCCCCCCCACCCCAGCCACTGCCTGGGTTCTGAACCCCCTGCCCCCACCCTGCTACTGTTATTGCAGATTATGAAATGCTCTCCTTATCCTGCATTCTTCTCGGAGGCAAGAATTTTAATGTATTTGTCTTTGTCATCAGGGGACCAGGGCTCTGGGACCGCCCTGCCTCTGCCTGAGGAGGGAGCGCCCCAAATCTGGTCCCAGCTGTCTCCAGACCCGAGTCTCTCTCCATTACCACCCCCTCATGCCCTAGTCCTGCCCCTCGCCTCCCCCTCCTAAGACATAGTCTCTCTGTGGGGTGGATAAAAGTGATGTTATTGAAACAACAGAATTGGGAGCAGTGGCAGGGAGCAGGGATCAGCTCAGGAAACTGGGGCGTTTGCCAAGAAGACTTCTCCCCCGCAGGCAGCCTTTCTGCCCCCACCCCCCACCTTTCCTACAAACACACGCAGATCGCCCCACCCCTCCTGCAGTACTCTCTCTGGTCAGACCTTGCAGAATATTTGTCCATCCCTGGACTCCCCAAATCCTTGTCCTCTCTGCCTGCCCCAGAATCCCATTCCAGAATCAATTGGCTCAGTGGTGCCTGCAGAAGCACTGGGGCAGGGGAGGTGTGGGCTGTAGTCTGTGATGGACACGCCTCCTCAAGGCTGAATCGCCAGGGCCTGGGCTCCAAGGGAGACCTTGCCTCTGCTCACTCCCTTTTGCCTTCTCTGCACCCTCGCCTGGGAGCTGGCTGGCATCTGGGCAGAGCCCGAACAATGCTTTCTGCCCTTATGCCCTCCACACCATCAGACAGAGGAGTTCAGAGTTCCTGAGACTTCAGTCCACCACTATCACCTTAGAAGACGTTCCGCAGAGCAGGGCTGGCGGACCAGAGAGTAGAGACAGAGGCACACAAAGACAGATCAAGATGCGCGCGCACACAGAGCTTGGCACAGGCTTTCAGGTAACGGCAGAAACCACAGGACAGCCTCACCTTCCCCAGAGGATGCTGGATAACCTGCTCGAATGGAGAGTCACAGATGGGCTGGCTCAAGACGAGACTTATGCCTGCCTCCCTGGAGATCAAATGTGGGGGTGCATGCACCCCCCCTCATGCACACACACCCTACCTCTGCACAGACACGCATGTAGAGGAGCCGTCCCAAGAGACGGGAGTGGGAACACAGCAGCCCAGACACGGGTAGCATGAATGGAGTGGTGCCATTCTCCCTGTCCTCTGAGCACTGGGCCTCATCCTTCCTTCCCCCACTGCTCTGCCTGAAACCCCAAGAGTCTGTGAACTCCACTTCTAGGCCCTGGTGCAAAGGAGAGACAGAAAAGAGAAACGCGGGCGGGCGTTTGGCTGTGGGGTTGGAGAGGAAGGAGGGGCAGAGTTGGGGACTGCGGAGGGGGCGAGAGGCACCTGGAGAAAGATAACATCAGAATCGCTGCAGGCACAAGCAGAGCCCTCTGTCTCTGTCGGATTCTCTCTTTCGGTGTCTTTTCACGTCTCTCCCATCTCCATAATTCGGTCTCTATTTGTGTCTGTCTCTAAATCACTTTCTCTGTTTCTTTGTTTCTCAGAATGACTGAAGCTGCAGGAGCCCAGGAATTTGGGCCTGTGACCCTTCCCCTCCCAATAACCTCTCTCTCTCTCTTCCTCCCTCCCCACTGCCCTCCCTTCCTCCTTTCCCAGCAATGGGACCTCATTCTCATTCCTTTAGGGTGGTGACAGGACTTGAGAATTCCTAAGGGCCCTGGGTCTCTAGGTCCCAGGAGAACAGAGGAAAGGCCAACTCTCTAGAGAGACGGAGGGAAGGAAAAAGAGGGAAAAGAAGAGTCATTTTCCTCCCCCTTCTGTGCCCAGATCCCTCCAGTCCAGCTTTTCCCAGCCCACCTGAAGTCGTGAGAATGCACCTTCCCAGTTGAGAAGATGGCAACTCAAATGTCCAAGCTTTAGCCAGGCTTGTCCCTGCCTTGCAGGCCAAGTTTCCTCTAAGACTCCCTCTGGGCCTTTGTCCAAGGTACCCGCCCACCCCATGCCCTGCCTCCCCACAAAACTCACCTGCCTCCCATGTTCTGCTTAACCTTATCCACGTCCCCATCCTCCCTATCACCCCCAACAGTCAAAAGGAGAAAGAACAAGATGGGAGCGGGGGAAGCAGAGGCTGAGAGGGAGGGGCTGCTGGCCTACCAGGACCGGGCTGGGAAAAGTCAAAGGACATTTGTTTCCACTTAGCTCAGCCCCAGTGGCCCCAAGTGGGAGTGGTAGGGCCCGGAAGCTTCTCCAGCCATCTCAGTCCCGGCCCAGCTCCTGCCTTATGGATAGTGGGGCGAGCAGGAGGGCCCTGGGTGTTCTGGGGGATCCCCTACCCTCTCTCCCGGGGCTCCATTCTTTTCCAGGTGACATGGCTCTCCCGCTCTGTCAGCGCTCTCAGCCCTGAGGAAATCCGGGCTCCTCGCTCAGGTCTCCAGCCCCAGACTCCCTCCCGATTGGGTTGCCGTCTGCTGGCTATCCCTCCCTGGACAGCAGGCGGCAAGTTTTCAACCTAACGCCTACTATGTGCCACGCGCCCAGCTAGACAGCGGAGAGACAATGGTGAGCTAGAGCAGACATAACCCCTACCCTCAGGGAGCTGATGGTCATTAATCATATCATCTCACAAACAGATGGAAAACCACAACCTCGACCTGTGCTGTGGAGGACAAAGGAGGGGCCTGTGGGAGACTCTGGTCGGGGGACTGGCCGAGTCAGGGAAGGTGGGGAAGGCTTCGCTGAGAAAGGAACACTGCAAGTGAGATACAAAAATAAGTTAGGGTTAACTGGGAGGCATGGGGCGGGGGAAGACATTTCAGGTGGAGGGAACAACCTTTGT